ATGTGTCCATTAATGTCTCGGTTCTCCTGTTGGAGGTGAAGGTCTTGGCTTGTTACTGCGTTACAGGCAATGTCTATTGATTGAGAAGGGCAGAGCGAGAAAAGAGGCTTTACTTTCCGGTGTTGTCGGAGTATCCGAGCTCCGCCAAGCACGTAATTGTTTGACAAAGATCGTGCAATCCAGTCACTTCGCGCAAGAGCTGCATCAGGTTTACGCTTCTGTGCTGGATGCGAAGCGTTCCAGCTTACAAAAATTGTCACCTGTGTTGATCGGTGGCATCTTTTGCATGGGAGGCAGACTTAGTTATTCGAACTACAGGCAATCAGTGAAACATCCAGCTATTTGGAGCCGACATCCTGTTACCGCCTTGATCATACGCCACCTTCATGATGTAGAAGGGCACCGTGGAATAGGGCAGGACTTGGCCTCTGTTCGACAGCGATATTGGATTGTCAATGGAACCGGCGCCATCAAGCGAGTGACCGGTGCGTGCTCTTTATGCAGGCTACGGTTCCCACAGCGCGGTACACAAATAATGGCTCCATTACCGGCAGAAAGAGTAGGAGTGGGTTGGTGCACCTTCGAGTGCGTGGGAGTAGACTACTTTGGACCTTTTAAGACCAAACGCGGCCGTTCGCAAGGAAAACTCTATGGCTCTATCTTTAGCTGTCTGAAGACTAGAGCAGTCCGTTTGGAAATGGCAGGCAACCCGTCGACAGATTCATTCCTGCAATGTTTGATGCGCCTTGCTGGTAGACGTGGCAAGCCCACCGATATCTACAGTGATAATGGTACGAACTTCGTTGGTGCGCCAACGGAATTTCGGGATGATATAAAGCGGTAGAGTCCGAGTAAAATATCAGATCGGCTTTTGACTATGGATATACAGTGGCACTTCAATCCACCAGCAGCTAGCCATGGTGGTGGTGTGTGGGAGCGTATAATCAGGTCGGTACGACGTATCCGTTTATGTCTATGTAGGGAACAATGTTTGACCGATGAACAACTGAACACGCTTCTTATACAGGCGGAACGGATTCTAAATAACCAACATATAGTCCCGTTATCGTCAGACGGCAGTGATTTGAAGCCACTTACTCCAAACAGTTTGTTGCTCACGCAGTGCCCGGTCGCGAAGGTTTGGCCTCGCGATATCATGCCGATTGGCAACAGGCCAGTTACCTCGCTGGCGTATTCTGGCGTCGTTGGATAAGGGAATATCTGCCAACGTTGCAGGTGCGTAGCAAGTGGCTCAGAGTAACTCAATAATTGAAACGAGCGGACTTGGTTCTGGTTTCCGGTGAGGACCTGCCTCATAAGAAATGGCCTCCAGGGGTAGTGGATAGTTGTGAGGTGAGCCCAGATGGCTTAGTAAGAACCCCGCGGCGTTCTTAAGAGGGATATTAGAAAGGTGTGTTTACTGGAGCAACGCGATTATGGTTGTACTCCATCGAAGTCGGCAGGAGTGGACTCGGACCATTCGTGTCGGTGGCTGATGGGGTACCTTAGAATGGAGCTGAGCGTAGGCTGAGCGTAGGTAGTAGGCAAGAACCGGGGCGCCCGCTGTATCAACGTGGAGAATTTGGCGGGCGGTGTATCATCCGTTATGTTGACAATGAAATTCCCCACGTTTATTATGCCCCCATTTGTAACCCCCGCCCCATTTTTGTGTTTAGTGTGTATATATGAACTGACGTTTGTTTGTCCTTACCACTTCACCCATTTGGCCTTGAGGTCATCCGGCCATTTGTATCTGACTTTGCACGTGTGACTGTCGCACGTGGGAGCCTGTTTGCTCCCTTGCTTTATACTTTTGTAGTCCAAGCGGACTTTTTGTTTTGGACGCGTATCTACTCTCGAGGTTTGTATAACTTGTGAATTCTTCTTACCCTAACAGTACGGTATGGAAACCCAGCTCCGACTTTGTTTTGCCTACCTGGAGGTTCTGGTATTACGCGTCACTTGAAGATACCGTTCGACCGTTAGAATATCCACTTGGTGATTTGCCCCACAAAACGCTTCCACATACAACATCGCTTCTGTTCCTCACCAACTCTCCGACGCCGTTTAGCCCTGGTGCAATCGTTCTGAGCATCAACATTCCAGTCCTACCGTCTCACTGGCGACTGTCATTCCACTTCTCCTCCGCGTCTTGCCTCTACCAGCGTCTTTTTGCCGTTTTCCTGTTAGAGTCGACTGAGCTGTCTTTACTGGCCTGACTCTTCTCCGACCGAAAACAATGGTAGCTGGAGTATTTAACAACGCACAAACCGCACTTATGACCGCTTGGATGGTGTTCCACCTAGCAGATCTGTCAGCAGGTACGAGGGAAGAAAACCCCGTGTGGTGGACTGGTACGCCCTGCAGAGGGGTCGCCCTGTTACGTTGCACCATGGTGCGCCACCCCTCCAGTAGCACGGGTGCATCGCCCATCGCTGGTGGTTCTGTGTCTGGCCTTTAAATTCAGGAAATAAAAAAAGTGCTGCTGACTTCTCTTTGTTGCTGGTGTTGGGCTCGCCCCGGTTGGGTTACGCACCTGATAATGCCA